AAAGAGAAAGGGAACTCTTTTTTTTTTTAGCTATGCTTGCTCCCTCCCCTACTTAAATGAAATAAAAAAAAGGAGAGAGTTGCTAGTTGCTGATGTCATCAAAGTGCTAACATTAATCACTCACAGCATCACTGGTACAGGCACAAGAGCATATAACAGGGATGTTTAGGCAGTACTCTGTCCAAGGGGAGGCAAGCAAGAGAGGGGGGAAAAAGACATTATTTTTTCTCCTGCATGTTCTTTGAAAAGCAAGGCAACAGCACCTTTAGAAAAGATGTGCTCTTGCATGAATTTAAGTGAAAAAGACAAAGAAACCATGCAACCAGCAGCGTCGGAGAAAAAAATTGAAAGCACCAAGCAATGAGGATTCAGTCCAGGGAATCTGAGGGGAATAAAAAGCAAACTAGCAAGCAGAGATCAGGCAGGAAATAACTCCTGTGAAAAAAGGATACAGAAAATTTAGTGTTTATGTCATTTTCGCAGCAGCATTGCCGTATGAAAATTCTATTCTGAAATTTCCGTCAGGAAGTGACGGTAAGTACTGATTTTATAATTTATAAAACATCAAATGGGTTTTTCCAAACATTTACAAGCCAGTAATTATGCGTCTTCTAATAACTGATGCTTTGTAACAAGAGAAATGTATTATTGTTATTTAATTAAAATCCAAACATTCTACTTACAGAATGCTGTGAGGATAAAACTATTGTTTCTAAACTGTGTTAGGAAGTCTTCCATAAAAAATAAATTATAATTTTAAGTAATTGGGGTCTACCAGCTAAAGAGAAGACAAATGAGCAAGTAAAAGCTCTGATCTTACTAATGCACTCGATTTTAATATCTGCAGAAGTTGGGTAGATGCCAAAATGTGTCTGTCTAATAAGTTTATTTGATAGCAAACTCCCTTCCTTTATAATGTTGCTGTACCAAAAAGAGTGCACTTATCACACGATTAGAACGGCAGCACGTACCCGATCAGTCAAAGCTAAGGCTTTACATTGTAATGAAAATAAACATGTATCTTTTTCTTCCCACTTCCCAATTAGTATAATCCAAAAGGCTCGAGCAACAATTTTCATACATGAACAGTCACAGAATTCTTACTATTAATGTAATGTAACTATCAAAATCCCACTAAAATAAAAAATTTTGGCAGCCTCCTATCTAGTATAAAATATAATAAAAGTGTTCTAGAATAATTTCAGAATATGTTACGAGTAAATCTTATAAGCTTTCTTCATTGGGAGAATTTTCAGTAGTCAATTGTTATTTAGCCAGGAGACTTAACATCTGAAACCTGATCATAAAAAAAAAAAAAAAAAAAACCCAACTAATTTTTATAATGAAGTCACAAACAATGAAACACAAGTGTTACTGTCGTGGGCATTTATGTTCATTCAAAAAGTAAGAAATGTTCCCAGTGGAAAAAAAAACTTTCCCATGAGTGCTACTAGAAACTATTAAACTAAAAGAGAATCAGATTCAATTGCTGAGGTAGGCTCTTTTTCAAAAGTTACCTTCACAACAGTAAAAACAAAAAAACCTGTCAAACAAGCAAAAATATACACTGTTATTAAGGTTTGCTTTGTTATGAAATAAAAATTTCAATTCAAAGTCTACCAAGGCAGAAGCCAACTTTTTGTCCCAAAAGGAAGATAGATATTCCTCAACAGAAGCCTCTAGAAAATTGCAGAAAATAGATGTTTTCCTTACGCTATTTACAGGGTTAACACAAACTTAGAATCTCAAAATACTGGCAGGTTTTCCAATGTTAATAGTATTATGAGGAGGAGTATTAATTCAGGGCAGACAGACTATGGAATTATA